AATTTAAACAGTATTAAATAGAGCGGTCGCTGATCGTGTCTCTTTAGGGCACTTGGAAGAAACCACGCAATTCATATGGATTACTTTGGCGATATTTTTTTGCGATTTCAACTTTTTGAAACGTGAACATCTTTGGTGAATCATCTTTCATCGGAGGGATATAAATCTCTCAGGTTTTTATTAAAATATCGCCGCTTTTCTTTTGAAGATGAACGAAAGTCTTAGATGGTTTGTTCATGAAGTATTAAAAGGACATTTTAAATGTATTTTAAGAAATACACTTAAATTGCACTAAATATACTTAAAGTGGTTCCAATTTAACACAATTTCAATATATTAAATATATTACAAATAGATTAAAATCAAACTTAAGCATATCTTGAAATACACTTAATATACTTAAAGTTGTTTCAAAATAATACATTTAATATGCACTTAGTATAGTATAATTTAAATATAGTAAGTATGTCTGAAAAAGCACAATTTAAATATATTTCTTTTTCACCTGGGTGTGCTGAGACAAGAGAGCATCTCAAAAGTTAAGACTGGACAGAGAATCAGTAGCTGCACTCCCTGATTGATCTTAGAATTGGGGTTTCAAACCTCACTGAGGTTTGCTTGTGGACAGCTCAGAATCTGAACCCTTCAGAGCAAAGCCTGCCACCAAAATAATGTTCAGGACCTCTACAATCAAACAGAGTGGTCCTGACTGAAATAAAGATAAATTAAGTCATATAGGTTTGGATGAATGACATAAGGGTGAGTAAATGATGACAGAATTTTCATTTTTGGGTAAATCAATGTTTTTCATCAGTTTTAGTTATTATTTATAGCATGTATAGTTGAGTTATTTTAGTACTTCAATTGAAACTAAACTAAAATGAGAAATGATGCCTTGGCAACTAGCTGAAATAAAATAAGTTTATTTTAATATTTAATTTTGTTTTATTTATGTTAATTTTTATTTAATTTCAAGCAATGAAAAGTTTAAATTTTATTTAATAACCCTTGGGTGAACTATGGCTATAACAACACTAAGTATTTTAGAGGATTCATAGAACTTTCATGTGACTAAACAACAGAAATGTAGAAAGAAAATGTTTGGCTGAGCACTAAAAAGATAAAAACCATACTGTGGTCCTCCTGACATCAGCATGGCAACCACAAAGAGAAAATAGACAGGTGAAAAAAAGATAAGAGCAGGCATTTTAATCATGAGCCTCCATGTGTAGTCACATTTCAGCTGAGCAGTCCTACACACTCTCTCTGCCGTAAGTCTAATGTTCGCACAGCTCTCAAAGGTCAGGTCACATGACTCATCTGCTAGCCAAATGTCCAACTGCGTACACAGAAATGCAAAAACGGGAGTACACTTCAGTTAGAGTAAGTGAACGCAGTATAATAAGATGAATGACGATGATGGCAGAGCAGCTCTGTCACAGCAAGACATGGCAAATGCAATCACTTTCATTAATAGTGATTTGATTTTATAGGTTAGCCGTAATTGTTTAGAGCAACAATTCATTTTTATTAAATGACTGTATTTAAGTATTTAATCTGAATCAATGAAATTGTCAAAAAAGTCCCTGAAAATTAACACCAGTGGGTAAACATTTTGGGTAAAGTTAATTTTTGATATTGGTTCAAAGGTTATAATCCATTATCATGGCTTCCAGTCAGTCACTGTTATTGCTTGAGCAACATTAAATGCCGTGTGACAGACAATAGGAGTTGCTGGATGAAGAGATAATTAACAACTCATTAGCTCCAGTAATCAAGCTAACGACGGGTTGCCTGATTATTTTGATGCATTTGTGAATATTCAGGAAGTGCCGAGGAGGATCTGTGCACAGGCAGAACTCCTAAAGATTCACGGGAGAACACATGAAAAATTTAATTACTACACATACACTAAGTATGAAAGAATGCTGAGAGAGGGAGTTTCTGCCTGCAAAGCCCAATAAAAGGAGAGAAAGAGACAGCATACATTGTCAGGAATAAAATTATTATAATTTATTAAATAATTATTAAATATTATGATAATTAAAACATTTATTAAAATATTACTATTTATTTGAAGAAAAATACAGTAAAAACAAAGAAAATACAATTTAATAAAATACAGTGCTTTCAGATTAAAAGTATATTACACAATATTTCTTGTTACGGCAAAGCTGAATTTGTAGTTTTACAGTTTCCAGTGTCACATGATCTTTCAGAAATCATTCTAATATGCTGATTTGGCACAATAAGCATTTATTAGTATGATTAATGTTGATAACACTTGTGCTCTTAATAATTGAAAACATGATTATAATATAATAATTAAAACATGAGACTAAAACGTCTGTTGTAACCAACGAGACGCTGTGTCGAAATAGCGTTTCGACACAGCTCGAGTTCCTGAAGGGGAACCTTGGTTTTGGTTATCACTTTGTCAATTATCGCAAATTCAGGAATGATTCTTGCAGTCTGTAATGATCATTTAGGGCATTCATTCATGCATTTACTGTAAACAATGTTGTTATTCCCAATTTGTGTACATGTAGTAAAAACCAGGTTTGAATATCAGAATATGAGCAAGACTTATTCTCTAATGTAATGTGTAGACTTCTATAGCTGTATTAAAGGAAGCATAGTTTTAAACAGTAGAGTAAGGAAACCCTCAACCTGTGCCAAGGCGCCAGGCTGGTGTTGGAGACGGGTGGGGAAGCGGGCATCTGGACACGAGCGAGAGCTTAAGAGCACAGCTCACTCTTTAACGGCGAGATCAAGGAGATGCTTGGCAAGAAACACAGCCTCCTAAAACACCAGGACCCCACTTGGAAACATTCACCCAAATCCGCCCACAAAAAAAAAAAAAACACAAACAAAAGCAGGCAGGCCACGTTGTGTTACGGACGCAAAGCTGCTCCCTTTACACCTCCTAACAGTAGAGCCGGGTCGTTGCACACTGAGCTCACTGCAAATACAATGTCTCACCATGGAAAATTACCTCCTGCTCTGTTTTATTTCTGGAGAGATGTCAAATCATAAGTTTTGGTTTATCTCAGCATCCATAAGACTTGACATTCCTCTGTATTCACTGCAGATTAAGTGTTCCCCTCAAGCCTAAAACACTCCCCTTTTTTACTTTCACCACATATAAAACATAAAAGTCATGCCAACACATATAAAATAACAGTATTTATGACATACAGTCGCCCCAAAGTATTTGGACGCTCAAGCCTCATTTAAAAATATATGCATTATTTCACGGCATTGGAAACCAAATATCAAACTAAGTAGCTTCTCCAAACAAATAACAATAAAGTAATTTCCACGATTAACAACTCAATTTTGAATATTGAGAATATTGAAAGTTTGAGGTCAGCAATATATTTTTTAAAGAAATTAATACTTTTATTCAACAAAGACTTTAAGAAAGTATTACATTTATCATATTAAATTGATAAAAAAAGATGCCTATTTCAAATAAATTGTTCTTTTAAACTTACTATTCATCAACAAATCCTGAAAAAAAGTATTACACAAAAAATATCAAGCAGCACTACTGTTTTCAACATTGATAATACTAAGAAATGTTTCTTGAGCACCAAATCAGCATATTAGAATGATTTCTGAAGGAGCATGCGACTTTGAAGAATTGAGTAATGACTGCTGAAAAATGTAGCTTTGCCAACACAGGAATAAATTATATTTATAGATATATTAAAATAGAAAATAGTTATTACAAATTTAAATTGAAACAATATTTCAAAACCAGGGCCGTCCTTAGCTGACGTGGGGCCCGGTGCGAGGTATGGAGCACCCCCCTAAGGACGGCCCTATTCATAACATTACTGTATTAACATACTGCATTATTTTTTTCAACATTGTCCAAATACTTTTTGGTGCCACTACATAAAAGTTCCATGTATGAAGTTCCTGAGCAACAAACAAACTGAGCAGTGGAGTGGAATCAGATACTAACAGTGTGCTGTAGTAGATCCCATCTACTGTAAACACATTGCAAGAGGGGGAAAGAGGAGAGCTTTGAAAGAAGAGGGAGATGGTCAATCAATAGACCCGCACAGTATCTTTGTTCACCCTCGCCTCTCCCTCAGACCTGTTCTAATTGGCCTCTTCACAATATCCAAGTGTGTGGAGAATGATGTAGCCTAGTGCATCGAATTACACAGAGGATCTACACCAACTGTGCAAATAAACAATGAATAACAATGAGGAAAAATAATGAGGAACAGATTGGAAATGTCAAATTGTTTATACTAATTCTGTCAGAAATTAAAAGTGGGTGTGAATGTGTTTACCATGAGATCTTGTACAGACATTAACCAAATTTTAAAATCAAACTTGGTCATAGCAGCTGATAGAGTTGTGTTCTGCTGACTTTTCTTAGAGCACCAATATTTTTAAAAGCCTTAATGTCTTCATTAGGTGACGTGTCTGGTCTTCACCTTGGCCAGAAATCCACTGTTAACCTTTGAACTGGTCACTGCTCATGGGTCTCTATGGTTTGAAATACACATTATGTTCTCTAGCCAGCGAGCCCCAAGAGAAACAATAGCAAAGTCTGTGCCAGCGAGATTCCCTCATATGCAACAAAAGAGTTAGTGTCTGACTTACTGATGACAGGAGAGTCCTGATACAGGACTAACACCTCTGTGGACTCACAAACCAGAGGAGAACAAATAAAAGATATGAGACTATTTCATTTTAGAAAACATCACTTGATCTTAAAGTTCATAGAACCTAGTTCACAATCCGATACACATCCCAATATGGAAATTCTACCCTCAAAAACAGATTTTCAGAAGTGAAACTTAGCATGACTTCTTGCTTAATCATATTGAGGTGTTGTTTCCATTGTGACATTAGTCATCTGTCATGCTAAGTTCCTTACAAACAACAATAATTTTCCTGTTTCATCTGTGCTATTGAACCAAAAGAGCTGGTAGGTTGTGTGAGGTTTTATGTGTGTGTGGTGCTAAACCTCTTACCAGGCGGTGTGCAGTTCTTTTCAGCATTGGGCCCAACCTGCACCTCATCAGTATAGTTGCTGTCAATGTCAAAGTCCTGCAGCAGCCTGCGACTCTCCCACCTCTCACTATCTTCAGCTGAAAGACTGGAGATGCCATAACCTGTAAAACACATGGAAAAATCATTTCCATTAATCATGGCAAGATTTACCTACAGCAGACTTAATTTGGTTGCAAAAGATATGACGAATTCTCATATTTGACACAAATATTACAATCCCCTTACAAGGGACCCACTTTCAAAACATAAATATATACACAAATTAAAATAATTATATGACAGTCTATGTGTAAAGTATTATCTAAAAAATATTCACTTTCTATTAAGTTGGCACTTTTTTGCCTCTAATCTGCCAATATAATTAACACTACCGTTTGGGATTGGTAAGATTTATTTATTTAAATTTTTTTGAAAGACGACTTATTCTCATGCATTTATTAGATCAAAAAAATAGTAATACAGTATTGTGAAATATTAGTACAATTTAAAATAACTGTTTTCTATTTTAATATAATATATTATTATAATTATAATATTATATAATATATTTAAAAATGTAATTTATTCTAGTGATGGCAAAATTTCAGCAGCCATTGTTGTGCTGCTTATTTTATTTATTTTTCTCTCTCTCTCTCTCTCTCTATATATATATATATATATATATATAATTGTCAGGGTTTTTTGTGGAATAGAAAAAATAGAAAGATAACTTTTTTGCAGCAATGTAAAATCTTTACTGTCGCTTTTGGTCAATTTAATGTATTTATTGAGTCGAAACATATTGCAAATATCCATGCTGGCTGTGTAACCAAGCATTTTTTAAACTTACAGCAAAAAAACTACAGTATAAAAAAGAATGCAGATAAGTTTGTATACTGAATGTAATTTGGACAGCACAAATTCATAACAAACATATTCACATGGAAAAGACAGAGAGAGTATTTTAGTCGGTCACCCCTCTTCCATACTTATTCTGTGAGTGTGACAGTCATTCACATTTATTAAGTAGTCGCTTTTATCCACAGACCTCCGACAGACACACTAGATGTGTGTAGATGTGAGTGACACTCGTTCTTGTCTTGTACTTGTTCCTAATCTATTATTATCCAGAGTTATAATACAAACTAAAATTCTCAACACAGCTGAGTCTCACAGTCACGGATCTAAGTTAGGCTCATCACAGTGTTGTTTTGGGCGGGTTTGACCGGTCCAGCCCAGTATTACTGTGTGATATCTCCTGTTCACACTGCATTCACAGGGACATAGTGAGTGTTACATACTGTTAAACTCTCACAGGCTCCACTTCTCATTTGTGTTTCTGTGAGCAGCAGAGCCCCGGAAGTCTGCTGGCGAATATTCACGAGGGCCGTCTGTGGTGCGGAGTGAAGCCGAGGCGTAATAAAAGTGACATCACGCGGCGAACGCTCCTGCGGCAGCGCTTCTGTCCGGGCTTGTCTGGGCTGGGAGGGGGTGATTATTCTGGCAGCACTGTCATCTGGGTCGCTCTGTCCTAAAGCGCCTCTGCCCTTACTCCACTCCACTCAACCGTCTTCCTGCGCTACTCTTTTCAGAACGCCGGATCCCACTTACCGCTCAAGTCGCTATAAATAAAACCTCTATATTTAAAAAAAAAAACAAAAAACAACAGCACTCATGATAGGGCTTCAGGGCTGCATGGCGCATTATGACGTGACACATTTTGACATTGTGATGTGATGTGAATAGCGATACAGAACTGGGATATGGTTGTAAGGAGAGCTTCAGAACACCCTGTTCTTCTTCGGCAGAATCGGCACTGATAGGAAACTTGAGTTTGTCTTCATCAACAAAAAGACAAAAAAGGAAAAACTGATCCAAGCACTGACATTCCAAGTGGAAACTGTTTAAAAATTCATCGTCCCCTGAAATGCCAAAAGAATCATGTAGTGAAGTGAAGACGGTTGTGACATTTTTGGAAAATGTGACACCTTAGCGTCTTCCTCATAGTAAAGAGACAGCAGCGATCTGTCCAGGACATGAGAGGTGAGCAAGTGAAGCACAAAACTGAGCCACACAGATGCTTCATTGGTATATGATCCCTCCACCTTTCAGAGGGGAATTCACTGCGCCACTTATTTGAACACACTGTCTCTGTTACTAGGAATTATATAAATTAGGTAGCAGCACAAATGTGCACACAAAATATATGCTGAATGCAATTTGCACACTGCAATTCTTGATTTTGCAGGCCAGTTCTGAGTGTTAGTTTGCGGAGGATGCAGCAGGCTAGGGCTAAAGTCCCTTTGAGGCTAGTCAGTCAAAGTCCCTTTCGAGGAAAGTCATTTCACTCAGCGGCCATAATTGCAATGTGTCTGGGCAGCTGTTTTGGGCATGCAAGAATAAATCCTATCTATTTGAATAAGGAAATACTGAAATATCAAAAACTTGACAAATTCACATGTAAATAATGTATTTCAAATCAGCTACAACATTTGGCATGAACTATCCCATAAATGTTATTTCTTAAGCTCAAATAGCATTTAAAAAAGCATATTTCAAGTTGGTTCAGCAAATGCGCATGTGCAGTCCCAAGCGTGTGGCTCAGGACACTGACTGTTTCTATGGGAACTGGAGTTTCTAACAGCAGCTGCAGTGATGCAATGACTTTACCAGTTGGCGACTGCCTCTTTTTTTTTTTTAGAAGGTGGAACTTATTCTGATGTATTGCACACTTTTTCCTATTACTAGTAATATGAGTAAATCTTGCTAAATACATGGTCTTTACATGGTGGCCATCGTCTACAGGTAGAAGTAGATTGCCTATAAATGAATGGTGAAAAACAGATTGTTTCAGTATTTCAAATCAGCAATAAAATGGTACCAAAAATGAATCTAAATGCTGAAATGTATGATGCTCAATGATTGGTAAAAGTGTGCTTACACATTTGTGCATATCTGTATAAATGCTCTTCTCCATCATTTGATTCTAATTTTGGTTAAATGTCAAATATGGTACAACCCAATTTAGAACCTGGTTAAACTGGACTATGGGTGGTTAGTGAATAAGCCTCTGTTGAGCTGTTTTTGCACAGTAAAGTGGCCCAAATGTTCGGTGAGTCTTTATTTCTCACTCTCCAGGGCTAAAAACGCAACTAATTGGCTAAGTAATTAACCATGTAGGTTCCATCCTCAAATGCATGTTAAAGAGGAAAGTAGCAGCTCCATTAGAATGAGCAGAGCTCAGGTTCATTGTGCCCGCTTCAATGGAAATAATGTGTTTCTCTCTGACATGCTGCACAGAAATGGCATTACCTGTGCAGCGAGCCAGAATGCACACTGCACACACACATGCGGGGGGAGGCAGGAAGTTACTATGGAGATGTGACGTAACCACAGGGACCAGAGGAGAACAGTGACGACATCACGCTCAGATGAACACGGCTAATCGCACACAGAAAACACATCAGTACACGTGCAGAGGATTTAAAAAGAAACAACGCATGAAATAAAGAATATACTAATGATAAGGCACAAACTCAATCTCTTAAAAAAATAATATTGCTTTTACATTACATTTTAAGTGTCATTGGATGCGAATAACTGTAATTCTTCTTAAACATTTATATTAACACAAGAAGGTCTAAGATACAGAAGTATTTTAGGCATTTTTAAGTAATGAATGTGAAAGTCTCAGCATGCAGCTGCACCAGAGAGCCCAAAGCACCTCTGCGAGAGACCCCATTAAAGAGAGTCATTTAGTGAGATTGAAAATGCACATGTGGTGACTTGTATAAAAATTGTATAAAAATGAATAACTTGTAACAATCAAGCCTCACACACCTTTTTGACCAAAGTCAACTTTCATGATTTTGAGCCGTTTGAGTTTGAGATTATTATATAAGGATTAATAAATAAATATATAAATACATATTTCAGTCAAAGGCTAAATAAAAACTGTTTTCTATTTAATAGACTTTAAAATGTAATTTATTCCTGTGATGGCAAAGCTAAACTGCTTAATATTTTTGTTGTGATTGTTTTTTCAGGATTATTTGATGCATAAAAAGTTCAAAAGAACAACATTTATTTGAAAAAGAAATCATTATAGAAGTATATACAGTGCTGTTCAAAAATGTGTGATAAGTAAGACACGGCTAATCGCACACAGAAAACACATCAGTACACGTGCAGAGGATTTAAAAAGAAACAACGCATGAAATAAAGAATATACTAATGATAAGGCACAAACTCAATCTCTTAAAAAAATAATATTGCTTTTACATTACATTTTAAGTGTCATTGGATGCGAATAACTGTAATTCTTCTTAAACATTTATATTAACACAAGAAGGTCTAAGATACAGAAGTATTTTAGGCATTTTTAAGTAATGAATGTGAAAGTCTCAGCATGCAGCTGCACCAGAGAGCCCAAAGCACCTCTGCGAGAGACCCCATTAAAGAGAGTCATTTAGTGAGATTGAAAATGCACATGTGGTGACTTGTATAAAAATTGTATAAAAATGAATAACTTGTAACAATCAAGCCTCACACACCTTTTTGACCAAAGTCAACTTTCATGATTTTGAGCCGTTTGAGTTTGAGATTATTATATAAGGATTAATAAATAAATATATAAATACATATTTCAGTCAAAGGCTAAATAAAAACTGTTTTCTATTTAATAGACTTTAAAATGTAATTTATTCCTGTGATGGCAAAGCTAAACTGCTTAATATTTTTGTTGTGATTGTTTTTTCAGGATTATTTGATGCATAAAAAGTTCAAAAGAACAACATTTATTTGAAAAAGAAATCATCCATCCCGAATAACAGTATATATATATATATATATATATATTTAATCAAGCATAAATAGAAAAAGCAGTTTAGACATGTCTAATGAATAATAAGGTTTCTATGCACTACTGCACCAGCCCAGAGCACATTTGGACCATCACCTTAATCACCTTTATTACAAAATGTACAAAGACAAAAAAACAAAACAATGACCATTTCCAAAAACTACATATAACATACTACATAACCAGGTTCTTCACCCCCTTGTTTGTTATATCGACAAAGACAACATAGTGCATGTCATAAAGCAAAAAGCCTCTAGCATG